TTTTTATTATGGAGTTCATCATTTTCTTATCAATTAATTAAGTAAATTACAGTTATTTTCATAAGAAATATATTATTAGCTATCACATTAAAAGATTCATAAATACATAAAATAATGTCGTAAAAATTTTTCTAACAATTCGTTAATCCTCTTAAGAGCATTTTTAGGGTTCTCCTTTTCATCTAATCTATTGAAATTTATTAGTGTAAGAAAATCAAGAAAGAAAAATGTCTCACTTTGTATTCCTCTTCAATTGTTATACATTTTCTAACCTCTACAACCTACCAAATAACTGTCTAACATATTTAACTATCACGCGTAGAAAGTCAAATGCTAATATTGTTTTTTGTCCAAATCATCTTACACGATCAATTTAATAATGTGTGCTGTCACACGAATATGTGTTTTTCCACAAATAAAATCCCCTTTTGATATAAGTTTTTTTTGCTCAAATGTTAACAAGCAGTGTCATTGATGCATTATCAACCTAATAGTTATGAGTTTATATCACAAGTAGCCCACTCATATTAACTTGGCAAGTTATAGGGCTCTTGTTTGACCCAACATAATGGTGTTGGGGGTTTAATTATCCTAAAACTGCCCTACAGGCTGGGTTTCCCAGAACTTGTTTTCTTGCCTTTGGAAATTGAATCTTGCAACCTTTGAAATACGTATGGGTTCGAATGAGCTATCATCTTCGTAAAGTGGGTTAATCTCAGGATTTTCTTTTGGAGACCCAGGTGATGAGTTGTTATTATCCATCTTCCCAATAGCTATGGATTAAAATAATAATGATATATCAAGTGTGATACGCCATGGAGATCACAGCAGCATCCTTTACCCAATCCCCACTATTCGACTAAGAACCAATTGTCCTCTAATAACCATCTTCCATTACTAGATCAGCAAGAGTAGTTGCAGAGCAGTAGTTGTAGAGCAGCTTTCCATGATCATTAAACAGTTCCTCCAAGCAGTTCTTTTTCATTTCTAAACTGTCTACATCATGCTCTTGATTAGCAAAAAGCAGTTATATTGTTTTCTCTATTTAAACATGTACAAGATGATCAAATGTATGTGAAGTTTATTAATGAAAATTGTGCTTCTTTTTCACCCTAAGAGGAAACGTGTTCTTGAGTTTCTGTTCTGACTAGGGCCATATCAATTCATATTGGTTCTGGCGACAAACAATGAGAGGATAGAAAACTTAAGAGGCCAGTATGGGTGGCCCGCAAGACAACTTCAGCCAAATGGAGGCCGGAACGGCAGATAAACTCCATTCAATTGAGGAAACTCTCAGACATGTTGACCAAAACACTAAGCTTGAATAAGAAAGGCTCTAGCAGCAACACAGCCAGCCGAATCAGTCAAGAGCGATCGACCAGAACAGGCAGCTCGAAACAAAATAATAGATCCTGACTCGCTAGAATCAATTTTTCCACCTACGACGGCACTGATCCCAATGAATGGCTTAATCGGCTTGAACAATTTTTTGAACTTAAGGAAACTTCAGAGGAGCACAAACTGTCGCTGGTCGTTTTTCACCTAGAAAGGGAGGCTAATCAATGGTGGTAGTGGTTGAAGAGAACGCACAACGAAAAAGAAAGAGAACTGGGTTGGACCAAGTTTGTAGAAGAGCTCTAGACTTGTTTTGGGTTGATAGAGTGTGAAGATTTTGATGAAGCTTTGTCCAATGTAAAGCAAACTGGGTCGCTTCGCGAATACCAAAAGGAGTTCAAACGTTTGGGCAACCAGTTTCAAGGTTTGACTCAAAAGGCGTTGGTGGGCACCTTCATGAGCGGGCTTAAGCCCAACATCGCAGATGGCACCAGATTATTTCGGCCCAAGACCCTTAAGGAGGCCATCAGTTTGGCCCGATTGAGGGAGGATCAGTTAGACCGGCAACCACACTCTGCCCGAACCGGGTGGTTCGCTCCTGCTTCACAAACTCAAACCTTAGTCATCACGTCTTCATCAACTGGAGCTCCGCTGACTATCGCGACCAAACATCTTTCCTGGGAGGCGATGCAGAAATAGCAAGCACAAGGCTTGTGCTTCAACTGCAATGAAATGTTCGGCTCCGGTCATCAATGTCATAAGTCGCAATTGTTGCTACTGGAAAGTAGAGGAAGCAGAAGTTGCAGTCACGAACAAGGATCTGGAGATCTCTCTGCATGCTATCTCGGGATGGTCGTCCACCTGAAGCATGAAGATCGATGCTTACATTGGGAAACAGTGAATGTTGATCCTCGTGGACAGTCGATCTACTCACAATTTCATCAGTGAGCGACTCACAAACCTCATACACCTATCCATGATTTCGATTGATCTTTTTCTGGTCAAGGTGGCGAGCAGACGATCGATCAGCTGTCGAGGGAGGTTCGAGCAAGTTCCCCTCGAGACACAATATATCACTTTTCATCTCACCTTTTATGTTTTTCTATTGATCGGTTTGGACTTGGTATTGGGAGTGTTGTGGTTATCGGAATTAGACCCCATCATATGTGATTGAAAGCGAATGACAATAGAATTTGTCTGGACAAGCAAGTATGACAGCTCTATAGAATTAACCACCAGACCATACGGCTGACGTCAATGAAGGAACTGAGCAGAGAAATGCAATAGAAACACTCCATGCTCGTTGTCTGCATGGCCACCAAATCAGAACTGACACAACCCTCAATGAACCCGAAGATGCAGAAGTTACTACTAGATTTCGGCAACCTTTTTTGTGAACTAAAAGGTTTGTCGCTGGTCAGGGAAATTAAACATAAAATCATCCTTCAGGAAGGTACAAAACTGATTAATGTCTAGTCCTAGTAGTATGCATATTTCTAAAAAATCAAGATCGAGAGGCAAGTCAGTAGTATGATGGATTCCAGGTTGATCAAACCAAGCACAAGTTCATTTTCATCCCTAGTTTTATTAGTACGGAAGAAAAATGGAACATGGTAGTTCCGCACTGACTATTGAGCTCTCAATTCTGCCATCGTCAAGGACTGGTTTCCTATTCCCACGATAGACAACGTGTTAGATGAATTACCCGGAGCTCAATTCTTTACCAAAGTAGACTTGAATATCGGGTACCAGTTGGTCAAAGTTCATCCGTCAGATATTCAAAAGACAACATTTCATACTCACAATAGATACTATTGAGTATATGATTATGTCATTTGAATTGTGCAATGCCCCATCAACCTTCCAAGTTATCATGAATTTCATCTTCCGACCTTACTTACGTAAGTTTGTGTTGGTATTTTTTGGTGATATTCTAATTCATAGTAGCAGTTGAGTTTTGCACATTGATCATGTCAAGCAGGCACTACAAATACTAAAGTAGCATCACTTCTTTATCAAGCTAAAAAAATGTGTATTTGGCCAATAATAACTCGAGTATCTGGGGCACATCATCATATCATGAGGGGTGAAGGTCGATCAAAATAAA